TGAGAAAACTGCCGGACAAAATGACCCTCTAAAACTCACTAAATCGCGAAAAAACTCCGAACCGGAAGTGACGTCATCAAATAAAAAAAAAACGCCTTAAGTTCATATCATTTGTCATCAATGCTGAAAGTTTCATGAAAATCCATCGACGCGTTTTCGAGAAATCGCGTGCACAAAATCGGTAAGAATAATAATAATAAGAAAAGTTGAAAAGAAACAACAGAAAAATAAGAAGGTCTTCCGTTGAAACGAAAGACCTTAATAATCTTAATCATCAGAATCAGTAGAAGGTCTTCCGTTGGAAACGGAAGACCTTAATGACAAAAGACCATTATATAATGACAATGTACCATCATATAATGACAAAGTACCATCATATAATGACAAAGTACCATTATATAATGATAAAATACCATCATATAATGATAAAATATCAGCATATAATGATAAAATGCCATCATATAATGATACAATACCAGCATATAAAGACAAAGTACCATCATATAATGATAACATACCATCATATAATTACAAAATACAAGCATATAATGATAAAATACCAGTATATAATGATACAATACCATCATATAATGACAAAATACCATCATATAATGATAGAATACCAGCATATAATGACAAAATACCAATATATGATGATAAAATACCATCATATAATAACAAAGTACCGTCTTATAATGATAAAAAACCATCATATAATGATAAAATACCATCATATAATGACAGAATACCATCACATAATGATAAAATAGCATAATATAATGACAAACTACCATCATATAATGACAAAATACCATCATATAATGACAAAATACCATCATATAATGATAAAATACCATCATATAATGACAAAGTACGATCATATTATGACAAAATACCATCATATAGACAAAATACCATTATATAATGATAAAATACCATCATATAATGACAGAATACCATCACATAATGATAAAATAGCATCATATAATGACAAACTACCATCATATAATGACAAAGTACCAGCATATAAGGATAAAATACCATCATATAATGAGAAAACACCATCATATAATGACAAAATTCCATCATATAATTATTAAATACCATCATATAATGATAAAATACCAATATATAATAATAAAATACCAGTATATAATGATAAAATATCATCATATAATGACAAAATACCATCATATAATGATAAAATACCATCATATAATAACAACATACCATTATATAATGACAAAGTACCAGCATATAAGGATAAAATACCATCATATAATGAGAAAACACCATCATATAATGACAAAATACCATCATATAATTATTAAATACCATCATAAAATGACAAAATACCATCATATAATGACAAAGTACGATCATATTATGACAAAATACCATCATATAATGACAAAGTACCATCATATAATGATAAAATACCAGTATATAATAATAAAATACCAGTATATAATGATAAAATACCATCATATAATGACAAAATACCATCATATAATGACAAAATACCATCATATAATGATAAAATACCATCATATAATGACAAAATACCATCATATAATGACATAATACCATCATATGACTAAATACCATCATATAATGACAAAATACCATCATATAATGACAAAGTACCAGCATATAATGACAGAATACCTGTATATAATGATAAAATACCATCAAATGATGACAAAGTACCGTCATATAATAAAAAAAATACTATCATATAATAAAAAAGTACAATCATATAATGACAAAATACCATCATATACTGACAAAATACCATCATATAATGACAAAATACCATCATATAATGACAAAGTATCAGCATATAAGGATAAAATACCATCTTATAATGACAAAATACCATCATATAATGACAAAATACCATCATATAATAATAAAATACCAGCATATAATGACGAAATACAAGTATATAATGATAGAATACTATTATATAATGACAAAGTACCGTCATATGATTATAAAATACCATCATATAATGAAAAAATACCATCATATAAAGATAAAATACTATCATATAATTACAAAGTACCAGCATATAATGAAAGTTCTCCACATAAGGCAGTAGTTACAGGGTTCCATAGAAGTATATTTATACCCTCCGCTTGAAAAGCGGGAGGGTATATAGTAATCGTTAATTCCGTCCGTCTGTACGTCTGTCCGTCCGTCCGTCCGTCTGTTACGCTTTGGGGTACCCATCTCTTATCCGCAACTCCTCTCATACCACTGAATGAAATTTGATGAAACTTTCACAGAATCTTAATTACATATTGCCATTGTGCACCTCCTATTTTACTTTTTGATCTGACATATATTTTGGATTTTCCAGAGCAAAACATGGACACTGCCATTTTATTCATATGGGAGGCGGGGGGTATCATTTAGTGAGCTCATTGCTCACAGAACCTCTAGTTCTACAGGTAATTATTATGTGGAGGTAAAAAAAAAACTTTTCTGTTTACCATGTCTCCACGTGCTAGTCATTTCCTAGCCACATTTCCGTGAAAAATTTACTCGTTGTAGTCTCGCTGACTCTCGCCACAACCTCATCGGTTTTTATAATTTGAAGAACACCGAAAAATAAAAGGTTCCGAGCACATTTGTAGAGGTGAACTGTAAAAGTCAGCGATCCTCGCAAAAGTCCTATAATATACAATTATTTAATGCCTGAGCAGTCAATAGACCAGAATATTTTTCCCGAGGTGCAGGGAACAGCTCAGTGTGTTCTATTGCCCGAGGCCAGCGGCCGAGGGCAAGAGAACACACTGTGCTATTCCCTGCACCGAGGGAAAAATTTTCTGGTCTATTGAATGCTCAGGCATTAAATAATTGTTCTATTACCTAATTTTATTTTCCGTATTAAGTGTTCACAATTGTATATTCAGTACAGAAGGTTCCCGTACAGTGTACCGTATTGTACAAATTTATACCTAGATATGGTGCATCTTTAATATTAATTAAAGATTGATTGTATAGACTGTTGTTTACATTCCTCTCGAAAATTTTTTACTTATATGGAGACGCCACCCGGAGAGGGACTTTTTTCGTGCCAGCAGTGCACCTACTGCGACACGGGACCTCGGTTGATAGGTCTCACCCGAAGGAATGGTCTCCACGTCCCACAGTGTATTAATTAAAAAGTAACCCTCATTAAATAAAATATCCGACCATTGAAATCACATAATTTTTAAAACCAATGTCAAAAGATCGAATAAGATGATTGTTTACCATGTCTGTGCAGTGTTACAAACAACTAAATTTGAAACCGGGATCGATTTTTTTCCGATATACGTCGCCGGTCAATAGAACGCGCAGTCTATTGACCGGTCAATAGATCGCCAGTCAGTAGATCGGTTTGAAAAGATAAGAAAAACTGAAAACACATACAGAGTAGATAAAAATATTTAATTTATAATAAAACAACAAAATTCATAGGATTAGGTAATAAATCACATTGTAAGCATCACTCACATGACTTTCAAATGAGGTGACCGAGCTAGATTTAGTACAAAGTCGGGTTATCTCTATTTTTATCAAAGTCATCCGGTAATATGTTACAAAAAATCAATTCAGTTTTAAAAATGTACATGTATCTATAGGTGCACGTATATTTTCCTTTGATCTCTTCATAGTAGGCATTAAAGTGCATAGACATAAATGTGAAGTTAATATTTTCTCAATTTTTCTGTATAATATCACGAATTATATATTTTAATATTATACTTTCATGTAAATTACTTGAATCTGATTCGTCGAGAAACATTTGATAAAAAACACTACTACCCGCTGAATAATGAAGCCACGCCCTCCTACGTAGCAACAGTGAACATTGTTTGACGACGGGTGGTATTCCAAAAAATAGCGACTGCGCGGAATTTATGAGCGCACGGTTCACTGTAATATGTATTTGTATAAAACATTCAGTATAATAAAATAAATATTGCATGTATTTGAGTGTAATATTGAAAATTTTCACCCCTGCGCCTCGGTTGACAATGGCTTTCTTTGGGTGAAAATTTTCAATGTTACACTCAACTACATGCAATATTTATATAATAACATTTCATACGAAAAAATATAAATAATTTTCATTTATTGAAGCTTCAAATTTTTGGAGGGGTTTGATAGACAAATCCTTGCACTTTCGAGAATTTGCTTTCGAAACTTTCTACTCTGAATATAATCATTTCTCTGAATTAAAGTTTGGATTAAAGATATTTTTAATTCATACACAAGATTGTCATTTTTTCCACATATTATCAATTTATATACATAACTTGAATTATTATCGCCTTTATTATGTGTCCACCGGGTTTGAACGATGTCGTTGCTGTTGTTACATATTTGAGATATCTGATTTCGTGACTGCGACGGGTGCCCCTACCATTGACACTTTTATAGACCATTGAGGATGAGAAATTAGATAATTGAATTTTTTTTTTTCCTTTTACGAATTCTTTGTTTTTCTCAAGCGCACATGCGAAATTTAACCGAAAGTCGTTTATTAGGAAGAATTTAAAAAAATATATACACTATGCCTCAATAATTTCTCAACAGCCCTCGTAAAATTGTTCATTTGTGTAAATCGCACTTCAACAGAGTAACATACCTAGCAGACCAGACGGCATAGCGTCGTCATTTCATTGCGGTCATGATTTCTTTCAGTCTTTTCTATTGGTCACTAAGCTTTCAAATTAAACATGGTCCATTTTAAATATGTAATTTTTTGTATTTAAGTACGAAGTAGTTGTTGCTGATTGTTTGTTGTTGTTGTTATATCACTTTTCCCTTTGTTTTTATGACTTTTTTATTCGTCCTGATGACGTACCAATAATTGTTTTATTACGTTTACATTACAGAGTGTATTATGACTGCTGCTTTAATTCTTAAGTTGTTATATCATTATATATAGTATAGAAAATGTAATTTTCTACAAATTAATGTTTCTGTGAATTATAACAGAGATGGATCCTGAAATCTACTGCTACAATTTGCCCCAAAAGCATGAACTTCTTCTACAGTCCATAGGAGACGTTTTTCCAGACACTTTTGAGGAGCTATTAGCAGAAGTACTTTTTAAGGTCCTTCAAATCGATACTTTCAAAAACTATATAAGTTCCCTACGACATAAGGTCACACTTGTTGATTCTGACGAACCGCGGGCAAATATTGGTGCCGTCTGTGTCTGCAGAGTGACAGTGAAACCAACAAATGAAAATCCAGAAGTGAAAGAGGTAAAACAACATCTGTAATCTAGGCATAATGATTTATTTTCCAGGTTACATCAAGAGTGTACGCAGAATAACTCCGGTGTGTATTCAATATACCTTGAAGCCCATAGCTTTCAACTTATTGAATGTTACCCGGGATGAATCGGGTGCACTATGTTTCGGGTCCTGAAAAATATAACTGTATGCAACGGGTAACGCGGCGGGGTCGATAAATAGTATGGGGGAGTCGTTTTAAGCCTATGGGGGAGTAGATTTTCACCGCTTTGGAGTCAGAAACGATCTAGGCCACGTCTTTTTTCGGTATTTGTAAGATGTGTTTTCAATAAAATATACCCCACGGAAGATAGCAACTGTTAAGCTTTGTGTTGGTCCTCTGTCCAAGTTTCATGTACGTCTAGTATTCTCAAACACTTCGAAACTATTCGACAGATTTCATGTTTACGGTGATTGAGTGGTCAAAATATGCATGGTTTACACTGTCTACGACTTGCACGTGCTTGTTACAGTTAAAACAACAGCAGCAAACGTTTATCTTTCAGATCCAATAATTTAAACTTAACTAGACTTTGTAAAATAAATAAATATATATATATATATATATATATATATATATATATATATATATATATATATATATATATATATATATATATATATATATATATATATATATATATATATATATATATATATATATATATATATGACATTTTCTCTTTAGTCAGTAATTATAACGTAAAGGGGAGTCGATTTTTTGAATCTACACTACCTGAGGATGCTTTCATTTTTTCCTGTCCCACTGGTTCTTGAGCTAATTTTAAAGATTTTTCCTATTTTTTCCTAAGTAAAATTTTGATCGACCATGGTGACCCCACCCTACCCCCTGGAGTCAGGTTTTGAACAAACTAAAAGTTACACTACCTGAGGATGATTCCATGTCAGTTTCATCTCTCCTGACCTTGTGGTTTTTGAGAAGATGATTTTTAAATGAACCATTAATTTTTCATTAATTTGATATTATCTTCTCTTGGAAGAGGGTGTGGCTCTTTACTTAAGCAAACTTGAATTCCCTACAACCAAGGATACTTTATACCAAATTTGGTTGAAATTGCTCTAGTCTTGAGAAGAAGATAAACATGTCAAAAGTTTACAACGAAGACGACGACAGACAACTAACAAATTTTGATCAGAAAAGTTTAACTAAGCTCGAGCCTTTGGCTCAGGTGAGCTGAAAATTAAATTCAAATAAAACATTTCCAGATTTGATTCGATTTTGATTATCTGTATCTGTCGAAGAGGAAGAGGATGTTCATTTTGCTGACAAAGTTTGGATTTTATTTTACTCTTAATGTTCTGTCCCTCGCAATCGCTGCGGTGAGATCGTCCGCCCCGAATCAGGCAAATATGAATAAGTAACATTATTATAACGTAGAATAAGTAATGATGTAACGTTTTAAATCATCTATCGGGCTTTCTGCAATTGGTCTTTTGACCAACCTGTATTTATATTACGATAGATATTGAAAATTGATACCGAATTTCTAAAATAATTGCAATGGTTTGTGCACACCGTTGCAGTTATGAGGCTTTATTTTTTGGAAAATAAATACTTTGTTTTTTTTACATAGTTCCAGATTAATACGAAGAATTTTTGGAATCTCGACCAACATCCAAAAGCAATAATTGTATCCAGTGACTCAGTGAATGTGATAGATTCAAAATTGTGTGTTTATAAAACATTCAAAAATTGGTTTGACTTTACAAACATCAGAATCCATCACAAATTAGATCATCCAAGCACGCTAGGGTTATTCTGTGCAAAACGATTAACTGACAATTTAACTTACCAACTAAAAAAACTGATTGAATGTATACCTAAATACTGGACCGGAAAATTTGTAAAAGAAACTGCAAACACTGCTTTCTCCTTAAAAGTCATAGAAGAAACCTGTCAAAATATACGTCTGGTTTATGAGGGAAGAAATATAGGATCTGTTAGTGATGACAGATATACATGCCGGGCGCCTTGGACAATTCGCAGAATTAAAGAATCGTTAGTTTCAAAAGCACTAGATTGTATTGCAAACCAATTTACAGAAAATGTGCTTCGTAGAATTGTGAAATGGATTGCAGAGAAACTTGAAATTACTCTTACTGATGAAATTCGGAGAGGAGAAATCTTTAAAAATGCTAAAAAATTCCTATTAAATTCATCTAGTGTGGTTGGAGGAATAGCTCTTGGTGATGCAGTAAGACAGATAGTTGCCAGAGTCTTCAACCCCACACCTGGATTAATAGGGAGTGTTGTTTTTGCTACAGCTTTCATTGTAGGAGTTGCAAAGACAGTAGTTATATCTGTTAATATAAATTCGCTAGAATGGAGGAACGCTATAGCAAAGGAAATACATGTAAATATTTCTTCAAACCAAAGGAGTATAATCAACAAAATTGCCAAAGAAATAAGAGAATTATGCATTAATGCTAAGAGAGAACTCGAGAAAATTAGTCATGATTTATCTTCTTTAAGCTGCCAAATACCAATTATTGACCAGAAAAAATGTAAGCATGAAATTATATATTGTTTATTTTAAAACATAGTTCGTATTAGGTATGACACTGCAAAGAATACATGTATATTTTCTCATGCGATGGTAATCGAATACAAAATTGCTAATCGGTTAATCGCAAGACGTTCCGACCGAATAACCGGTTGACCGTATTAAAATATGCATTTCCTTGATGTACATGTACATAACTCTTTTTTCCTAAGTAGATATATTCATGTTTACAAGAAGATTGATAAAGTCTAGATGTTATTTGTCCTCATTCTTGTTTTAAAAAACTCAAGGTTATATATTTCATTTTAGTTTTAATGTAGACTGTGAACAAATTAAAATAACCACGAATCATGTCTGAGAAATAAATAAAATTTTTCCAATGGAGATTCCACATACGTTCTTTCTGCGTTGTCACCATAATTAAAACTAAGACTGAAATACATCACTAAATTTTCAAAGTTTGTTCAGTAATTTATTCTCGACAGAATAACTGCAAAAAAATCCAAACACAATAATTCGCAGTTCTTAACAGTGATTTAATTATCATTAAAGAAATACAGGACAGTCAGGGTAACGACTTGGTTTTTAAACAGTAATAAACACTTCAATCACAAAATGACCAATTATTAATCAATGTCGATCCAGAGAACCATAATTACACCCAAGTCAGCTTGGATATATCATGAATATGAAAATATCAAATCATCAACGTGAATGCAAAGCTTTTTTAATGAATTTTCTAAAAAAAAAATTGGGTTGAACTTTATATAAATTTTATTTTTTCCGACTAACCGAATACAGATTTTCTAACCGATTGCCATCGTTTCGACCGAGTAATAGGTTAATCGGTTACAAAATGCCATCATATTTTTCTTTCTCTTCTCTCGTGGTTTAATTATTTCAAATTTATTCCCTTGTAGTGATTGAGGAATGGACGCTGAGAGACTTCAGAATAAGAGATGTAGAGAGCTGTCCATCTATTCTTCAGTTCATAGCAGGGAGAATTAATGGCAATCCAGTCATGAAAGTTTTTGTACAAGGAAATGAAAATGAAGCACAAACGTTTTGCGAACTAAATGCAGAAAACAAACCAAAAGATGCAAAGTTTGAATTTGTGAATGTTGCTCTGCTGGCTGATTCCCGAAATACCGCTCTAAACAAGGGCCGCTCATATCATATTGCAGAGGATGAGGAAAATCATATAAACAATATTATTAGAGAGGAAAGAGGAAAACTTTTTGCAAAGTATTCCAATGTTATTGCTATTGGTATGAGTTCAGTGAAATATTGTGGAGATCGTGTTGTTCACGAACCATGTATTTCTATATACTGCCTCGATGCAAATTTGATACCTTTTGGAGAGGAAGAAATTCCAAAATATCTTAGAGGTATTGCCTGCAATATTGTTGAAGATTTCATATCATTTGGAAGTTGTGAAAATTGTCAAACATTAGATCATGGATGTAGTATTGGGAAAAAAGGGGAAAAATCATCTGGAACATTGGGATTTTTTGTGCAGAGAAAAGATCACTCTGATGACCCGTGTAGCGGATTTCTTACCGCAGCTCATGTTGCTTTAAAGGATGATATCATTAAAACATTACAGGGAAAGCGCCTCTCTGAATCCAACTTTCGGAATGAAGTTTTTGACATCGTACACCCGTCCTTTGAGGATAGTGAAGCAAGCAAAGTTATTGGGAAAGTTAAAGATTCGTTTTTTGGGAATTACGAATCAATTGGTATAGATGCAGCTTTTATAAAAACGGATGATATTCAGCACGAACGTAAGTGTACAAAATGTTAATATCACTCTCATTGTATTTTAAAAAGAAATCACATAACTAGTATTATTAATTTAATAACTGTGAAATCACTAATTCTCTTGGGGTTTAATTTTCGTGGTTTGCGTGGTATGATTGAATGATTGATTGTATATTGTTTAACGTCCCTCTCGAGAATTTTTCACTCATATGGAGACGGTGAAGGGCTTCAAATTTAGACCTACAGCTCAACAAACTTTTTAAGCTCATGTGGTTTTTCCCACAAATTAAGGTAACATTTTTGTAATAAAAATTACTGTTTTTGAACCTCAGAACGATGACATAGCCCTATTGTATTACATATATAATGTCAAGTATCAAGGTCCTTTAAAAGTAGTATCTTAAGTTTCCAAAGTTGGTGTTTTAGAAGGGAATTTATCAATACATGGTACGATGTTTCCACTATCGGCCTCTACCATAGATATTTTACAAATAATATAAAACGTGCTTTCTTTGATACAAGCCCCGTCGGGATCCGGGTTAGAATAGGTCCTCATTCCCCCCTTGCTTGTCGTAAAAGGCGACTAAATGGGGTGCCCTTCGGATGAGACCGTATAAACCGATCGCAAGGCCCCGTTTCACAGCAGGTGTGGCACGATAAAGATCCCTCCCTGCTCAAAGGCCGTAAGTGCCGAGCATAGGCCTAAATTTGCAGCCCTTCACCGGCAATGGTGACGTCTCCATATCAGTGAAATATTCTAGAGAGGGACGTTAAACAGTATACAATCAATCAATCAATTCTTTGATACAATGTAGTTGAAAATTTTAAATCTTCTTCTTAAAGGTGAGTATTTTTAAAAATTCTTTGCTCATTTACAATACTCATCTGGGTTTTGTCGAAATGTAGAAAAAGGGAAAGGGATAACATTGCAAAAAGAAACCATACTACCGGGTAGGATAATGAAGTATTTTTTTTAATAGTAATTTTTTTCGATGAAAAGGAAACTTCTTCTGCATTTACGGTTTGAAACGTTAAAATTTTGTGATGAATCTTTTATGATTCTAGATTTTTAGAAGGTGACTCTGAAAATGCCACCTTATAAACATACAAAGCAGTCAAACTGATGAAAAATACTATTATCACCCTGCGCTAAAGAGTCGGAATGTACAGAAAATAAAAGTTACAGTAGTGTGCTGTGCCTGTGTCTATGTTTCTGCAAAGAGCTACCGCTTTCAAAAGAACGGGTAAAAAGACAGCTGCAATTTGCAAGAGACTACAAAAAATCAGATGAAATGAAACTCAAATAATGTAAACAAATCCTTTTAAAATGCGCCGCGAACGAGAACGCAGCGCAGTTAAGGTTACAAAAAGGAGGCGGAGCCTAATTTGTACGGGAAAACTTGACTATGACATTATACACAATATACGTCATACAGCATTTCTTTAAAATACCACAAAATGAGTTTATCTGCTAATTTAACCAGTAAAAAATCATCAAACGACATAAAAGCTTACTACAGCGTGTTGTTTCGTCGTTAGTTAAATCCCACATAACAAGTTATGAACAAGTCACTGATCGCAATACAATTTTGTCAATATGACGTCATTTCTTACAACGTGACGTAGTTTGTATGCAGTGAGGGACGATCAAGTAATATTTTCTCAACAAAATATGTATTCTCTGATAAAATGAAATATTATTTACAGATATTCTATGGGCCAATAACTTGAATTTAATGTATTCTTCACTATTTTATTAATATTTTTTCCGTACATTACGTATTTAATTGACACTGCCGTATACATGTATTTGTATGCAAGTACATCGGAGGGTAATGTGGGGGGTCTTAATAAATCGATCTAGTGCTTGGGCATACACTCTATGGATCAAAGTAAGCTTTTAGATTTCAACTAAAGAACTATTAAGGTATCTGAAAAGTGCTGCGATCCTGATGAAATCTTAAAAACAATTTAATTATATCAATATTTCATGCCGCTGACCAGCAAAAAATATAGCATTCGGTCATACAAGTATAATTTTAACAATGAAATTGCAGAATTTAGACAGGATCGCAGCACTTTTTAGAAACTACAATGCGTGTTGAAAATATTTATATACTAAACTTTGAAATTTAACTTGGTTATGCCATGCACTAGTGATATTTATATGTAACATCAATACTTCAAGTCAATATGCTAAAATCGCGTGACTGCCGCATCACGTGACTAGTCTAAATATAAAATATAATCGTCCTCGATATGTAGTTATTAATCATAATTACAATTATCCGATATAAATAATGTACTAAAAATAATCGCCATCCCGATTACGAACATATTTTTAAATACAAAATTTAGTCGATATTTCCATTGCGCACCTTAACTGTATTGCGAATCGAACCCGGGCCTCCCGATCACGAAGCGACCGCTCTACCACTACGCTACCTTGAACGGTTCTCGTGGTATGAAGAGACCCATGAATTTATGTCCTCCATGAAATTTATTTTTTCACAGATGTCGCTACTCAATGATTCTTCATCCACGAAATAAAATCCCCATGAACCCATAAATTTTCCTCAGACTACGAAAATTTGACCCCTTGAAAATATGTGATTTTACAGTACTTAAATATTCTCTTAATTCAACTCAGAAAACAGACAGGAAATTTTCTAAAGTATAATACACATGTATGTTAAATCAAAAATTGTTCTAAAAGAATAAAAAAAACAAGGTTTAACTCAATATAAATTAAAAATTTTATATTTTATAATTTGCAGAAAATATACAGGAACAAAAGTCAATGCATGATAATGCAGAGGAAATTCGGACTAAATTTTCAATGTTTCATTTTTTTCATTCTTTTTTATCATTTGCAATATAAATCACAATGTAAAGATTAAATGTATTTTTAGAAATCATTTAGCAAAGATTAGATGTGTTAAAGCTGAATAATCTTTGCAAATAACTGAATTCCGCGAAATGAAAATATGAATAAAAATCATTCCAGGCAACAAATCTCAATAATTTGATCATTGATCCCGTATAATATCAATACCATAAAAATTAGGGCAACAGGAGTAATCTAAGGTTATAAATAATAAAGAGTTCATATCAGTCAGATTTTTGTAATATTAAATTAAAAATGGGGGAAAAATATAAATATGACAGAGGAAATTCGGACTGTAATAATTATTAAGTTTATGGCGCAAACCCTAATCATTTTTTTATATGAAGCAACGCCGTACAATTACTTTAACATATCATTATTTAAAGAGTTCTGTTGCTATCAATATTTTGTGAATGGGGGAAAAAATTGGTCATAGTGTGAAATATTGAGGTATTTCACAAGAAATACGCAGGGACCACTAGCATGATAAAGGTCATTGACCTAGTTATTTGAAATTGAATTTTAACACAAGAATCATAAGTGTACAATGTGCACTAGGTGGTTTTTCGTTCTTATCAGTGGAAGTTATAGTCATCTAAGTAAAGATATACCTTAAGTTTAAAGTGATTCTTGATTTTTAATTTCAAGTTTCAGATGAGAGAAGTAAACAACCATTCTCGTTCAACAATAATTCTGAGGAAGATAAGGTAGTTGTTAAAACTGGAAGAACAACTGGCAGAACGACAGGAATATGGTTGAGACAATGTCCTCTTTCTGTAAAACGAATTCCACCGAGACATAAAGGGGTTTACTTTCCATTATACGAATGTCTTTGTATCGAAAATAAGGACTCAAAATCTTTCTTTGAACCTGGAGATTCCGGTGCAGCAGTTTACGTTATCAGTGAGGGAAACATTCATTATCCATTAGGTCTTGCTATTGGCAAAACTACGAGCATACACTTACCCTCAATTACATTAGCATGTCATATTGAAAGTATTTTAAAAGTTTTAAACCTGTCCATTTTTGAGCCGGCTCAACCTATGGAAGTATCCTAGGACAAAAATATCCTTTTAACTTCTTATTCTTAAATGCTTGTAATTTCGTAGAGTGGTATTGTTACAAAATTTATTTAAATTAAGTAAATGGTAATGTTGAAAGTTTATGGAAATGAACAAGACATTTGTGGGTTAATCGACAACACGTCAGACCGATAATCTCGGTGTCATGAGTTCGATCCCTGGCGTGAGTGATGTCAGAAAGAAGCCATGCACTATCACGGCATAGTATGCTTAACACTTTATTAATCATTAGAACGCTATGCGATAATACATGTAGTTATATATTGACTTCAAAAAGACAAACAGGAAACATTGTAATATCGTGTAGCCTGAGTTTTAAGGAAAACCAATGGCAAAAGTAAGCTTGTCAATGCTGGTACATCTGTACTTCGTATGCGGAAGTTAGCATACAACTTTTAATGTTATAGATACTAACACAGTTCCCAAAAAATGACTAATCACATACATTGGCGTGATTTTATAAGACAGATTACATTTATCCTAAGCATACTCTCTTGTATGTCATACTCACTTGTATGTTTGTTTTCAACATTTATTATATATATTTCAACAGTCAAAAGTAGATGACATGTGCAGTTTCTATAAATTATGTCGATGGGTATTCTGTGTTATTTTAAGATATGCCCTATCACGGTCCTATTTGTTGCTCATCTATAAATCAGCCTCGTTTTCAGTTTCACCGTCTTAGTGTCAGCAGTCATTTTAAAAATTTTTACCACTATCCTTCCCACCACACGCTTTGTGAAATTACCTTGAGGATTGTCATTTGTAAATAGAAAAATTGTTTGAGTATTAAATTGTTATGCAGTAGTTTTGGTTTACTATGTTATTAATTTTGCTATGTAAAGATTTGTATTCTTTAAATAATTATCATTTCATCAGACTTACATATGTCATGTTTATCTCACGCTTCTCATGCTATAGTATGACACATGCAATTATTATAATAGTCATCCTGGTGAATGTTATATCTAATCATGCTTATTCGTGTCAACATTTATTTCACGCTAGCTAGCCATACTGACATGTCACCAATCATGCTTACGCTTGTATTTTTTCTTTTTTTGCAAATCAAGCTACGGATGGCACTTCTACAATGTTAACATGCATAACACATCGTCATGCTGACGTATACCACTATTCGTCATTGTTGGATACTCAATTATGTAATTAGTCGTGCTGATGTATGACATTCATGCTTACACGTGTAACTCTTTCATGTTAGTCATGCTCACACATGACTCTCAATCGTAATTTGGCTGTTTTGGTGTATCAATATTACAAATTGTTCAAAAATGTTCCATATTTTAACCAATAACCCCAAAGTTTTCTCTAGGGTTATAGTTTGTTTTCTTCCTGTATGTTATTGTATATGCTTTAACAGTCGTGCATTTCTCATTACATGTTTGCTTCTTGTGTGTTACCATATATACTTTGCCTATCTCCAAATTGTCTAAATCAGTTTCATTAACGGAGTTTGTAAGTCAGTTATCAGTCCCCATGATCCAATATATGTTTTGCATATAATAAACTTGGTAACCTTAACATTGTTGAGTTTTATGTTAACCTTATCATTCTTAAACAATATTTGACCTTCTTCCAATAATTCTATTTCTATGAATTGCAAAAATTTCATCACTAACTGACATTGGATTTTAATTCAACTATTTTTTAAAACACTTATTGTTAGGTCAATGCACTGCACAATAGAGCGACGTAACACGAAACTTTTTTAAAAGAAATAAACAACGATTATTCAGTGAACATGGCGTTATGAATAGCAATAGCTCTGCTGGCATATTCCACGATGCACGCTAGCGATATTCACTGAATAATCGTTGTTTATACTTATATTTGTATTCTTTTATTGTCAAGAATATCCAAGGAAATTCTGGCTTTCATAATGATGCCGCGTGCTGTCTTCAGTAATGAAAAACACACGGCTATAAAGTCAGGGAATGCAAAGATATGGAAATAAAAAATTACGCAAGATCAAAACTCTATAGAAGAATAAAACAGCACAAAAGAGAAGCAGAGCAAATTACGAAACACGAAAACATCAGAGGTGGGATCAGGTGCGATGGACGAGTGAACATCCCCTGCTAATTGGTCACAGCATGTGCTCCTTGTCATGATCAGGAAAAAAACCCAGAAAAACCCGTCGTCAATTTAGAGTATAAATAATGGACTAACAATTGGTATGAAAAATGCCAGTCAGCATTTGACTCAATTTTTAATTGTATATATATACTGACAAGATCATTGTATCGACCATAGAACTTAAGAAATGAATAACTTGAAACGAGTATGATGATATTCTTGTTTCATCAACTTTTTTGTCAATATTTACCTCGTTTTAAACTTTTGGATCAACCCTCGTATATAAAATGATAAAAATGATCTAGCTCTGGAAACTCTGATAAGAAGATTTAGAGGAGTACACATTCCCTGTTGACCGGTCACCAATGCAACAAGCTCTATGTATTGATCAGATAGACGAAATATATCAAAGTAAATTTACTTTCAACAATTGGTATGAAATAAGTCAGTTAAAATTCGGCCCAATGATATTATATATTTGCTAAAAAGGTCATTATTGTATTTTGAAATTACAAAAAGCCGACTTTCAATAAGGTTGATAAAATAATGTCCCAATATACCGTATAAGTGGACATTTAGCGATTTGTTCCTAAAAATTGGTGTTTTATTTTTAGCGAATTGTAATTTTACCGATTTTAAAAAGCTCACTTTAGAAGCTTTAACAAATAAAGCGCAATTAATTTTTAGTAATATTCAATTTCAGCGATCTTGGCAACCTCCGTGATGATGCCAAAATGAAATCCTCGCTAACAATTCTGCTTATACGGTAGAACAGATTTATAAAAACACAGTTTATATTAGCCCATCCGAAAATATTTTCACCATAGAAATGGAAATTAAAGAAGATTTTCCCAGATTTTTATTGATTTGGGGTTTAATTCGAAAATTGTCTAATTGGGACGTAATGATACCGTCGGGACTTACTAAAACATGACGTCACAATAAAAAATAAATCACTCATAGAAAAAATTCGGTACAGTATAGTTTTATATGCAAAAACTCAAATATATTATTCATTTTAAACAAATAACAATTTTGTTGTTTTGTTTCTCACATAACAACATAATTACTGAAAGTATTTTCCAATAATATTCATTACGTTAATCTCATCGGGACGAAAATATTGTTCGAAGATCCTTTCCGGACAAAATTTAATTCCTTGGAAGCTGACATAATCAATGTTGCCTTCCTCCTTTGTCAATATTTAATTTGTATTATAATTTTATGTGTAAACTTTCTTTTCTCGTGTCTCTCTTTAGGTCATTTATACAATCTGCATAATACCTAATACTTTTACCAGAGTATGGGTTTGAATTAATAATCAATTAATAAAAAAAAAACGTTTTAACGTTCAATTTAAGGTATGTGAAGAAAAACTTATCATGATATAAACCTAAAATGTGAAGAAGCAGGGAATACCCGCCGTTAACATACTCCTCTACGTATCTATGTTTAGACATAAATGTAGCACATGTATTTAAAATGTCCGTCTCGATACATAGGGAATAATTGCGAATTTCTGCAACATTCTGTGTTTATTAGTGTACAAGCTGTACATTTATTAAACGGCACAAAATCCTTTTTAAAATAATGTTTGTTTCAATATATATAATAAAGGAAATTCAATGGGTTCTACTAGAATATGGAATTATAATGATATCTGTTTATATCTTATCACCGTAGACAAAATGTAAATCGAATGAATTTACGAAAGAGATTGAAAAATATCTTCATGCATTACTATATCTTTGATTTGTATTAAAATGTAAATTAAAGTATAACTCATAACATCCAACGCAACATATGGAGCGAGCACATTTTAATCAGACTTTTTTTATAAAACCTCGATTGAAAAAAAGGTGTATTGTGATCGGGATATCCGTCTGTCTGACTGTACGTCTGTCCATTATGCTTTGGGGTACACAGTACAGTTAAGGTGTGCAACGAAAATATCGACAACATTTTGTAATGAAAAATGTATTCATAATCGGGAATGGCGATTATATTTAGTATACAATTTTTATCGGATAAGTGTACTTGTTAATAGAGACCTTTAGTTACAAGTTTCGACCGAACCTGTACGTATGACGTCATCAAAATAGGTGTTCTTTGCAGTCATGACGCATCCTTTTTACGTGTATTTACCCGTTTTGACCTTGTAGGGGGTGATCTACACGTAAGTAAATAACTTGTGTGTTTATATTAAGATATTTCAAGTAATATTTGGTCGTTTGAATCAAAACAAACATATTTTAAAAGTAGACTATGTAGTGTAATAGAACTATATTTGTTTCATTCATTGAAATGGATATAAAATTTTAGCTAGACGCTGAAAATATCGATCTTATACGTTGAATCCCTAGATCCCATTTGATTGCATTTTACATAATTATTATATGCACAATAATATGTCTTTACAACGCATGATACATGTACTTATCATTTGAATTAAGTTAAAATATAATTTATCTATAAGAGATAGCCTAAGTTGAATCTTAGGACAAAATCAAATGACCGATTGCCATGTCACCCCCTCCCCTACATCTCGGCCCACATCCCTCTTAGGGGACTTCTGGGAGGAGAGGCCAGCTAAATTTTCAAAGTTAGGTTATCTATTTTCAAGAAAATGACCCAGAATGGATTATTTATTTTTTTCCTTTCTGAAAAATTCAAACACGCCAAAGAAGGAGAAGGAAAAAAACTGTATTTCGTGAGGGTGTGTGTGTGTTGGGGGAGGGCACTAGTGAAGGACAGAATATTTATTTTTCTTGCCTGCCGAAGAAAGATTATTTATTTTCAACATCTGCGATGTTCGAGGATAGATTTTCTCTAAAATCTGCCGCCCCCCCCCCATCAACTGCATCATCTTTTGCACTGTACAAACAGGCACAAATGATCCACAGGTGCTTGTGGACAGGACCCCCCCCCCTGCCCCCCAAATATACACCTGGGTTCAATGAAACTTGTATTTGTCTAAATTTATCTACTATTACACATCAATAACGTATTCCATATTGAATTTTAAAAAAAATTAACTTTTTATAAAAAAAAAAATCATACCCGCGGTAGGCCTGTTAGAAAATAGAGCTTCTCAAGGGAAATTTAAGAGGGGAGGGGATACTGTTCATAAGAAATTGGAAACTGTATTACATTTATATGGATAGACACAAACAATAAATTTTTTGATATTTGTTGTAACATTTTTGTAGTGATCTGTGAGAGGAAACTTAAAGGCTGAAAGCATGTGAAGGAAAAAAATGTTTCGTTTTTCAATGAAGGATGACATCGAATTGCTGAAAGAAGTGTCGAGTGTTAATCCCTTTTCTGGGGACTCGGTAAATAAGTGGGCAGAAATTGCAGAAAATTTTATGATGGCTCATGAAGGAGTAGCCCTGGATGGAAGGCGCTGCCGAGAGAGGACAAGTCTCCTTCTTTCATATTTTAAAGCAGATGATAGAGATAAGCTGTACAGGTACACAAACTAAGTTAACGTTGTTAAATAAATAAATTCTTATCAAGCATCAGCTTTAAACAAGCAGTTATATAACAGTTATTATGTTTGTATTTTCATTTACTTTCAAACATTATTTGTGCCAGCCCTCCCAACCCCCTTCCAGCCTTTATTTACTTTTCTAAACCTCTACGTTACTTTTCATTCAAAGATCTGGAACTGACGAAGAGTATGGCGAGAAAGAACAGTTGTTACAGGAAGTCCTAGAATTATCTGAGCAGGTCAAATTCAAAACTGAAAAAGGCAAAGATGAAAGCCAAAAAGCGCAATTAATACGGAAAAGGGCGATCGAAAACATGAAAACAGGTATTTGTATATATGACTTGAATTTTTATACGCAGGCACTTTTATATTCATGTTTACAAATATTTTTTTTTTAAATTTCATATTGTTTTTCATTTTTCAGCTACCTCTGATGAGAACGATGACAGTCAGTGTTCAGTGAAGAGAAGAAAATCTAATACTATGATCGACTTCCTCACTCATAAGACTGAGAGCGAAAACAAATTGAATCAAGAAAAAATTGAGCTAGAAAAAAAGAAGCTGGAGTTAGATGAGAAAAAATAGCAGCTGGACCAAGAAAGATTCCGGTTAGAGAAAGAGGAAAGAACTGCAATGATTGATTTATGCAGACAGTTAATCGAGTAAAAAAACTAACTGTTTAACTGCAGCCAGTATTTATTAATAGCATTTAACTTTTTTCATTATGTTAAAAATGAGAGCTAATAAACTTTTACTTTATCTGTTGTTAATATATTGTTCTAAAGAAGGAGGGCGAATTTTGAAGTAATCCGTCGTAGGACTCCCGTACAAACAAGTGTGGCAGTTGGTTAGAAACGCTCCCACAGCGTAGTACTTTCCGAAAGGCTGGAGGTATAGTTTCAAATTTTTCTTGTAATCAAGAAATGCAAATGTCTGAATCACTTTGTTAAAGCCCCATTCCACGCATTGTCTCACTGCAGACATCTGCCGGTTAAATTCTGCTTCTTCTGGACTCCCCCGAATTCCCTTGACCGGCCCAAGTACATACTGGTTGACGGCATAAGCTGCGTCTCCGTACAAGCAGTACGGTTCACCGTTAGGGTGGTTCATGTAACGTACAAGTTCGTCTCCAAGACCACTTTCCCTGAAAACCGCTGCATCGTGCCGTTTACCTTCAAAAGGCCCAGCCAAATTTGCGATCAAACCATTTGGTGTGACTACTGACTGAATTTTAAACCATGAATCCGTTTATGCCCTGAAAAAAAGTAATAATTTTGCATACATTTCTCAATTTTCGATTTTGATTGTGAAAACTTGTTATAAACATGCTGCGTGTAGTATTTATACAATATTATATATATATATATATATATATAGAGAGAGAGAGAGAGAGAGAGAGAGAGAGAGAGAGAGAGAGAGAGAGAGAGAGAGAGAGAGAGAGAGATGGGGGGAGTACCAGAATAAGTGATTTCTTGGAAACGGGAAGGACGCGTGATTGGGCGCAGTGTACCATCAATAAATCCCCAACAGTTGGGCAGGGGACAGAGATTTCCCAAAGTTGTCGTGAATTCTGGTAAACCCCTCTGGATCCATCTCTGATTCAGAGAATTTAAGCTGTTTCCATGCGTGGCATAGATGAAATAATAGCGTCTGAATAATTTGAATTATACAGAAATGTAGATATTTTTTTAATTAAAGTGAACCAGACCGGGGATAAAGTACTAGTACATGTATTAGAATTATGAGACATAATTCATACCGAATTAAAGATGAGACTAAGTTCAGATTCACTCCTTCCATATATTGGAACTAAATCGGCTAATCTGTTTGGGTAGGCAAATCTTCTTAATGTGATACAAAATGCCTCAAGTCCAGTAGCTATGCTGTTATTTTTGCACACAATTTTGCTGGGAATCCTAAAAGTATTTATCATACGCTGAACATCACATTTGCTGAATCTACATGGAACATAAAAACTTCTTTTACAGTAACTAGAATTAGGACTTCTGTAACCTAATTTTTAAAAAATCATATGTATTGACAGCCAGATATAATTACTCATTTACAAAGGTATTAAGATCTAACCTGAATAAAGAGAAACATTGTTCATCACTTAAGGCAGAAAAATTCAATCTCGGTCCGTCTGGCATTAGCTGAGGGGATTTATTATGACCTATTTCGGACTCTAATATGAGGAACTCGTCAAAATTCAACAGCCCCTCCTCAAGCAAGAAAAGTAGATTTTCAATACTGAAAAAAGTAAGAAATTATGAAAACATGTAGATATTCAAGATCCAAAATTAGAATTCCTGTTTTACTTCAAAACTTTTTAAGTTTTGTGTATTTTTTAAATTTTAAATATACGCTAAAATTCAGAAATTTCTATTTTCCTCTTTCATAACTTTTTTCAAGACTTACAAAGTTAATTTGTTTAATGTTTACCTCAAATCTCCCATTCCTGAGGTTTTGACGTCTGCTACAAGCACTTCCGGTGTTACGCGTAACTAAAGTAATTTTTAGCTCACGACGAGGAAGTAAACGTGTACGTGTAGGTTACACGTACACGTTGCAAATCTCTTGTAACTAAAGGTCTCTAATAACTAAATATTGAGGACGATTAGATTTTATTTTTAGACTTGCTACATGATGCGGCAATAACGTGGTTTTAGCACATATACGAGGGGCATTTCAAAAGTTCTGGCAACTGTTTAATAAAAAATTAACCATTTTACGGAAAGTATTGAGTTTGATATCATTGGAAAGATAAAAAAATATACAAATATTGTGACGTCACTTTATAATTTTTATGACGTTATAAATCCGAAAATGACGTCAGAATATTGAATGTTTAGCATACTGACCATAAAAATGACGTAACAAAAGACACAATTTAATCATATTAAAATTTTCAAGACAACTTTTGCTTATTACTCGGACGCAAGTTAACGGACACAAATGCGAGTTGGTGGAATGTTTACATAGACTACAATCTATTTTATGGTATTTTATTTTGGAGATCTCCTTGTTCTGATATTGTTTTAGCGAGTGTCAAACTTTGCATGGTTTTATCGAATCTCGCTCAAACTTTTGCGTAAAAGAGACCTAAATGTGAGAAAAAGACAAAGTTGACAATCAAAGAAATATAGGCGATCGTGTTACAAAATTCGATGGCATAAATCCATCATGTGTTTTAACCAGATTTGTGTGATCGATGAAGCTCAAGAGGAGTTAAGTTTAGTGTGCCCCAAATTTTCACGTAAAATCCAAAATGGCGGCAGCGAAGTTGTAACTCCCACCGTACCTCCACATATTCGCAAATTTTAATGCATGGAAAATAAATTATAAGACTCTACATGTCTGAGTAACTTATATTCATTTTTGGATTCAAAAGTCAAAAACAGTAGTGAGTTTTGGGGCACCGAAGTTGAATCTATATGAAAAAATACGCACAAAATCAAGTCGGGGACGCAACTTTTGAGTATGCTAAACATTCTATAGTCTGACGTCATTTTCGGAATTATTACGTCATAAAAAATATAAAGTGACGTCACAATATGTGCATATTTTTCTGACCTTTACAATGATATCAAACTCAATAAATTCCGTAAAACAGTTAATCTTTTTTTAAAGAGTTGCCAGAACTTTTGAAATGCCCCTCGTTCTTGCAGTATTGAGGTTTATACATTTCACTAGTGCAAGGGCATAACCAAGTTAAAATTCAAAGTTTGGTTTAGAAATACTTTCAACACGCATTGTGAAAAGTGATGCGATCCTATTTGATGTCTGCAAATTCGTTGATAAAATTATATTTGAATGGCCGAATGCTGTATTTTTGCTAGTCAATGGCATGAAATGTTGATATAGTTAAATTATTTTCAAGATTTCATCAGGATCGCAGCACTTCTCAGATACCTAAATACTTATAGAGTTGAATTGAAAAAGCGTACTATGATCTATTGAGTGTATGCCCTTGTACTACATCGAATTATTTAGACTCTCACATTAACCTCCGATGTACATGCATACCAACATACGGCAGTATCAATAAAATACGTAATATATAGGAAATATAGTAATAAAATCGTGAAGAAGACATTGAATCCAAATTAATGGCCTATGGAATATCTGCAAATAATATTTCATTTAATTATAGAATACATTTTTCGTTGAGAAAATATGGCTTTACATACCTCTCACTGCATACAAACCTTGTCACGCTTTACGATATGAGGTCATATTGACAAGTAGATTGCGATCAGTGACTTATGCCATAAGTTATTTCCCGATTACTGTAAAAGTGGTTATTTACGCGTGGGGGAAATTTACACTACTTACGCGGTAAGCTAAAAACCACGTAAAATACCCCCGCGCGTATGGTCACAAAATTTCAATCTTCTGGAATAATTCTAGATTATTACTTATACTGTTAGACGGGTTGAACCAGTCGTCTATTTATCGTGGTATTGGACGCACGTGAATAGATAAATATATCACAAACTGTGATGAAAACGAACGTGTTTATTATGTTACTTGTGCGATGAAAAACGCATCTTCATATTAAATATTCTAAAGCAACGTCAGGCAATTAAAGCTTCATAACATCGATACTCATTTTCATTTCCTTTGTATATTCGTTTATAGCTTTCTTAATTTCAAATTATTAGTCCAAAATGTCAAATAAACTCATAGTCACTACCATCCAGCCTATTAGATTAAATGTAAAAACTCGACACGCAGATACAGGTAAGTAGATTTCACTTTGAAGTTTGAGCTTGCGTTAATACATATGTAGTTACAATAAAGCGTACACCAGTTGTTCACACTTCACCGCATTTTACTGTATACAACGACGTTATGCTTACCAATCCAACAATATAAACAGTATAATTTTTTATTGATTTGTTAAGTTTGTTTATAATTATTTTTTTTTCTTATAATTTTCAAAGGGGAACAACCCTATGTTAGTTACAATATCGATGGCCGCGTAAATTTTTCTCAGTAACTCGTGCGACCGCGTATATTATACCCACGCATAATGTTTGACAGTCACAAACGCGTACTTAACAACCAATGTAAATAACCACTTTTACAGTATAACAAGGAGCACACGGCGGGTGTAACTTGTCAGCGACGATGCTCACTCCTCCATGGCACCCGATCTTACCTCTGATGTTTTGGAGGTCCGTGTTTTCTCTGCTCATTTTTTGTATTGTTTTATGGACTTTGATATTGAATACCGTTCGTTATATCCATATACTTCGTCATACAAATTATACGTAATACAAAAATTCTTTTAAATGCAGGATATGGAGATAACGAACAGTATTCAATCTCAGGGTCCATAAAACAATACAAAATAAGAGCAGAGCAAACACGGACCTCCGAAAAATCAGGGATGGGATCAGGTGCCATGGAGGAGTAAGCATCCCCTGCCGACCGGTCACACCCGCCGTGCGCTCATTGTCATGATCATGAAATAACAGAAAAAAATCCGTTGTCAATTCAGCGTGTAAATAATGGACTAACAATTGGTATGAAAAACTTCAGTCAGCATTTGACTCAGTGATAAATTGTATTTGCTGACAAGGTCATTGTATCGAACATAGAACCTACAAAATGATGACTTTAAACGAGACTGCTGATATTCTTGTTTCACCAACGTGCTTGTCAATAATTTACTTCATTTTAGAAATTGTTCATACATAGAGCATGCTCATGCCTATTGAATCAACTGAGATATATAAACTCCGTATGCAGATGATGAAGGTATATTGCTGCATAAGTA